AAGATAAAAACACGTAAAAAGGAGTCCGTCTATACTCTCAATCGCACCCGCGCGGTGGTTAAAAGGTAAGCGACCCAAGTCGCATCCGTTTCCTCCTCACCTTCTTCCCCTCTTCTTCTTCCTCTTCTTCTTCTTCCTCCTCCCCATTCTATTGTCTATCTTTCTATTGAAGAGCGCACACGAAATCGACCGCCATAGCGAAACCATCTCCGCCGCAGCCGATCCCCCAAGAATTGGATTCCCAGGGATCCCTCGGCGCCCTCTCTGTGGCAATTCTCACAGTTCTCTCGATCCCGTGCATCATCCCGCATCCGCCGATCCCTTTCCCGCCACCATCAGGTCTTTCCTGAGCAGCTCTCGGGTTGTTCTTTCCTCATGAATCTTGATTCGTTGCTCAAGTTTAAGTTGCATGGTTTGGTGATCGGTTGGTTTGGCTATGGATTGGAAGCTGCACCGTTGGTTTTTCTTGCGTTTGAGTTGTCTTCTAGGGTTTTCTCCTCCGTTTATTCTTTCTTCTTCTTCTTCTTCTTGATGGATTGTTTGTGAGTTTGGGGAATTCTAGGGAATCGATCATCGATTCGTTCGAAATTTTGTCCCTCGTGTGAGTACGATTTTGGGATAAACTTTGATGTTGAGCTATTGATTCGATTTCATTGTTTAGGTATCATTTGAATCTCATATGATGGGGGCAACTTCTGTCGTAACAAGAATTTTTCTTGATGCGATTCTAGAATCTAGGTTATTAATCAGCATATCTTTTCTTGTGAGTACCTGAACTCATAATTGTTCTTTCAAGAGTCGCTTTTTCTTTTTGATTGAAAGATTTGTCTTAGAATAATTACTTATCTTAACTGCTCACTTAATAATGATTCTAGGTAGAGAAGTTGCGAAACTTTGATGCTTAGACTTCCTTCAGGACCTAATATATGATAGTTTGGTAATTTTTCATGATATGTGGCAAACTACGACCCTATTGGCATGTTTGAAGTAGCAATCATACTATTCATTTTGTTTTTCTTGTTTGAAGAACTTCTTTGACCCTATTGGCTTGGACAAACATACATTCTGCTTGAAGCTCAGACACTAACCAGCAATGACCATTGTTAAAAGTAATCTTTATTTCTTACTCATGCCATTGGAACTTTCCTTTCCTTGGCCTTTAATTTGTGGTTTCTAACATCTTGACCTACTTGCAGCTTAGGTGTTCTTACTTGTTAGAACCATTTGAAAATTGATGATAAAAAGACCTGCATAATTATGATGATGTTAAAATGGTTGCGATTCGCAAATTTAAGCATTATCAATGTATGTGAAGTATCTGCGGTTCAATTTTTGATCAAGCACTTGCACCCAAGTTTTTTCACTTCTGTGGTAAGTGATTCATTTCTCCTTTTCATAGAAATGTTGTGTTCTGATTTTCTTGTTTCAATTGGCTGCATGTAAGTTAGTTTGTCTTCCACGAAGAGTATGATCTCTTCTTCTTTTTTTCTCCTTTTTCAAGGCAAAAAGAGGCATATGTCTATTAAACTAATCAAGTTATTTTCTCGATTTCTTTTCTTTCTCATTTATTCTAAGTGTCCACATAATAGGACTAGCGGAGGCACAGTTTATTTGATTTTTCACATTGGAATTGCATTACTTCTCCTGTGTGACCCTAGTATTTATACCTTTTTATAGGCATCATAGTGTTCAAGCTTCCTTTTTTTTCTTGCAATTTGTTATTAATCTTATCTCACATAATTATACTGTGGTATGCTGAAGGCGAAACAGGAAATTTCTAGACAGGGCACAATCTCAAAATTCACCTTTCAAAAGCATATTTAGCATCGACTTACACTCCTTGGTAGGGGCTAGAGTGATTTGTTGCAGGTTGGGATAAATTGATAGTCACTCAACCTAAAGCTTATTTGTAAAACTGAAATAAGTATACCAAGCTTGACGATTGGATCTGCAGCATCGAAAAGACTGAACTGGTTGATATGTTAATATTTTGTTTCTTGCTTAAAAAGCGAGGAGTCAGGAGATTGAGCAAACATACTGTTGCCTTCATAAGATGTAACTTAGAAACACAAAGCATTAGACTGAGATAAGCTTACCGGTAACACCTTCTTTTTCTTTCTTTCTTTCTTTTTCTTCTTTTTCAAGAAGGAGAAGATAAGTATATGGTGAGGAAAATCCACTTATATCAGGACAAGGCAACAGGGTATTATGAATCAGTGATGAAATCAATGCCTCCTGCTGCCAATTTGTTGAAGGAATATTTGAGTGTAGAAGAGGTGTTGAATATCTTTTCCTTTTCTTCTCCTTACTTTAATGATATTCTCATTTTATTACACCTTTTGTACCTTGTTTTTCCTTTACCAACTGCCAAAATGAGTTGCTTCACTTGGTGAGCTATGTAAAACTAGTACCCTCAGAGTCAAAGCTATGTGAGCTCCTAATTTCAATCGTGACTGCATTCTATTTAAAGTGTACCAGACTAAATATGTATGATCATAATCTAATCATTTCTAAGTGAGCGATCTTTCAGGTGATCTTGCACCATCTTCAGCCCAAAGCTGATTATTACGAACATATTCTGGTGGCTGTTGAGCCCTTTTGGAATTTCTATCCATGATTAGCAGTTGCATTATCACTCAACAGTTTTCTGGTAGAATTATTAATCTGCTTTCTGTGAATTTCTTCCTGTTTAAACTTGATCTGTAATTTTAGTTTAAGAAATTATTAAGTTGGACTTATTTCATCTCAGACTGGTGAGAGATATTACTCTGTGGTTGTAAGGAACTAAAGAAGAACATAAGTGGTCGGTCCTGTAGCAAATCATACTTGTAATAGTAGAGCATCTAAAATTAAAGCATGTAGGCTATTGTAGCTTTTAAATACCACTCCCTTATTTGTCACTGCAAGGGTCATGTGAATTTATGTATTTGGAGCCATTATTCTTTTCTTGAACTGTTAAGTTGATAGCTTTTATGCTCTTCCTTTGCGAATACAATTGAATGTTCTTTTTCATTTAGCTCCTACTTATTCAAGATAACTATTTAGCCAGTCCATTATCTAGCTATTGCTTCTCATATGTTCTTATAGGATGTTGTTTTACTTGTGAACTTTAGGTGCTTTCATGTATTCTTCATTTCCTTTTGAATTAAGTCATTTCTCTTTGTCTACAAGTGTTTTCTGATAATATAGAATTTTCTGTTGCAGTTCCATTCTGTCCTCTACATGGCATCTTTTTTCTGGAATGGAGGCCACAATTGAGTATCACTTGTAGCCTCGTCATGCAGATGGAGGGATAACAATTCCAACTGAGGTATCTTTTGTGGTTTGAATTGCTATTCTGGAGATTTTTATGACTTGTACTTTGTTATCATATGCTATTTTGATATTGATACGAGCTGTTTAGTTAGATTTTTCCTTTTAACATGATATAATTAGCACATTGCATGTGAAAGTATAGAGACACAGCAGCTTTCACTGGCATCAATTAATTCATATGATGTAGGATTCTGATGGTCTATCAGTTGGATGCTAAATTTATTAACTTGTATTATTCCTTTGATATTTTTGAGAATTAATCATGGATAAATTACATCAAAAACTATCTAGGTAGTTTCAGCAAGGCTACAGTTCGATTATATATATATTAACTTTATTGGAAATATATGATAAACTATCCAAAACCTTCACTTTCATGTCCGTAAGAATCTTTCATGAATTTTGGAATCAAAATAATGAGAAGAGAGCAACAACTTTGTATCTCAAAACAATGGTTCATTTTGGGCCTTGATCTGTGGAAATGTTTGGACTTTGATCAAAGATTGGGTATGTTGAGACTGATGAATCTTTGGAGTTCCCAACACGACCCATTAGAAGTTGGGGGTGGGAAGTAAAACTATAATGCAATCTCCAGAGTTAACACCTTCGTTAATAGATGGTGGAATTAAGGTAATACTACTGACGTGCTGATGCTAGAACAATGTCAAATTCTGCTGTAGAACCATTCGAGGACTTGAATGCTAAAACATATCAAAGATCTTGGAGGATAGTTCATGAAGGAAATTGTTATGATACTTGAGTATTATCCTAAGATTAATTCTGACTGTAGGAATTTGGGAAAAATTAGATAGGCAAATGCCTCTATGGTTATGTTCTTGGTGAGAGTCCATTTGTTCAGGAAATATTAAATTTATGAACGCCAGATGGAGTCTAATTGGTGAAGTCAATTTCTGTATAATAGATTCAATGGTGAAAGTTCATGATAAGAAACTATTTGGCAAACTCTTAATAATGCTGGTGACATGTTTAAATAAGAGATTTATAATCGACGGATGGCAGTTAGGTGTTGTAATTGCAAGGGATGGATCATATAGAGATCAATTATTTTTAGAAATCAGGCAGTGAAAATTGGGTGGAGGTTAAATTTACTGTGAACAAGGGTTGATGATGTATATTATGAGATAAAATTGGTTAATTTATTTAAGAACATTGGATTGATGCCATCTAATCTATTCAGAAGGTTGTTTCTTCTGTAGAGAATATTGGAATGTTGTCAAATAACGAGACTGTTCTGCATATTAAAAGTGTCTAAGAAGAAATCTAAATGAAGACAACAATCATGTTAAAATGGTTGAGAAGGATGGTTTATTTGATTATATGATTATGATATAGCATAAAGTAGGGACATCTACTTGGAATGATATTTAGAGGTGTAGCAAATAATTTGCTGGCTGTTCAGACTGGCAGTGGACTGAAGAATTGTACTAAAAGTAAGGGACTGATCCAGTTTAGACAAAAGGGATGATTTGTATATTTAGATTTCCAGTAGTTCTATCATCTTCAGAATAGTTAATTGAATTAGGGAAGCTCTTCTACTCAGTCAGGGATTGTTATTTACATGGAACTCAATCAGTCTGCCTATGCTATAGTATTTATACAAAAAAAGTAGGGAAGAGGCAAAAATTAGGGTAGCGGTCAGGTCTGTCTTGGTAGAAAAAAAAGAATGTTCATTCAATGCTGGAATGTCAGTGTTCTAAATGATCCCATAAAACAGAGAAGTTGAAAATTGGGGTAAGAACAATTATTTGAAGGTTTAAGAGAACATACTGCTTATTTTAATGTTCTATGGACTTATTGTAAGAGAACATACTGCTTATTGTAAGAGAACTACCTCAGATTCTTTAACATTGAACTAAAATTGAGAATCTTTTGCAGCTTATTAATGACATGGAAGATTTCGATTACGGGTTGCAAGATGTCTTCTGTTGTTCAAAAGTTAAAGCTGCTAAAGAAAAAAAATTCTGAAGTACCGATTTTTTGCCAGAATTATTGATTAAAATATAAAGGTTCTCTTTTTACAAAAGAAGCTGCAAAGTAACTAAACTGATAAGAAATTACAGAGCTGAAAAAACCATCTGCTTAATATGACTCTCTAATTAGAATAATGCAAAAGCACAGGGTTGATTAGTTTCAGTCTTTAGATAACAGCCTAATTCTCTTTTACAATTTTAATCAATGCCCTAAGGACCATAACAAGATCTTCAAGTAGATAACAGGATTAGTGATACAGATAAAAGCTGAAGGTCATGTAAGTAGAAGGTCGGTTGATCCAAATAAATTGGAAGTTTTGTCCTGTACAGAGGATGAAAAAGCTTTTATTTATTGAAAGTAGAATATCTAATGAAGAACTTAACACGACCATTTTCTCATAGAAAGGGATCAAGCCCGCTGAACCAGATGGATGTATCAAAATTTTATCAGCATTGCTCGAATTCAATTGGTACTGAGGTGAGTGCAGCAATGAAAGAATTCTGTATCAGTGGGAAATATGCTGAAAGCAATTAATGATTCGTCTCTTTCATTAGTTTCTATAGTTAAAGCTCCAAACGTTTTGCAGGATTCTCCCCTATTGCCTGTTGCATTGAAATATGTAAATGCATATCTAGGGTATATTCAAATAGAATACAGAAGGCGATTAAGAATTTGGTTCAGTTTGCACTATAAGGAATTGAAAATTTGCTAATATTCAATAGACTCAAGAATTGCTTCAAAATTATCACAGGGCTCAAATTCCTTCAAAAGCAACTATCAAGATAGATTTGCTGGTAGCATACAACTCAATTCTTAAAGATATCAAGATACAACTCACTGCTAAGAAGGTATTTGACTTCTTTTCAAAATTCAAATAATTGAAGAACTCTAGGTTTGCAGATGACCTCTTACTCTTTTGTGATGAGAATTTAACTAACTCAGGATTTTGCTATTCAAATCAGAAGCTTTGTGGGTTTGTTGGATTGTCAGAATATGGTTAAAGGATCAATATATTTAGAGTGTTAAAACTATTTTATGCCAGTCTACATGTGTCTTGCTAGTGTTGCTTTGTCAGGGTAAACAGTTGGAGTCATATGGTCTAATTATAAATAAATATTGCCTCTGTTTTGCGTATGTATTTTTCTCTTGCAACAGATGGCTAATCTGACAAACATTCAAGAATGCTGGAATAGGGGTTTGACTGTTCTACAATAAGGTAACTTGTACTGCTGATTGGTTGTTTTGTTGTATGTTCTATTACTTGAAGCTTGATCTTTTTTTTTCTTTTGGTAAGTCTTGAAGCTTGATCTAGCCTTGGCCTAATAGCAATGTTTGTATGAATGACTTGGATGGTCAAGGCAGTGATTTAAAAAGGCGCTCGGGCGAGGCGAGGCGAGGCCCGAGCGCCTCGCTTCACTTCCAAGCGGCGCGCTTCAAAGAGGCGTCGCTTGGGCGCTCGCCTGAGCCCAGGTGCCGGGTGCTTCGGGCGAGCGCCTGGGTTAAACCAGGCGACCGAGTTAGGATTTTAGGTCTGGTTCGGTCTCTGGTGTTTTAGTTGGTTCAATCGAACTAACTAAAACCAATATCAACTGTCGCTACCCAACTCTAACCCTGCTCGTTGCCGCTCCCGCTCTCGCTACTCGCCGCTGTCGCTGCTCGCTACCGCTGTCGCTTGCCGCTCCCGCTCTTGCTGTCGCTTCCTCTTTTCTCAGTCAACACCCCCTTACACTCCTCTTCCTTCTTCTCCTTTTGTATACTATTAACAGTATACTAATAATAGTATTTATATTTATTAGATTAATAATATATTATTTTGATTTTATAGCTTATATTTTCTTAATTTAATAGTATATTTTATTTAAAATTTTAAATAATTATATTTACTAATTATATTATATATTTTTATATTTTAGCGTCTCGTTTCGCTCGGACGAACGCCTAATGCTTTTTAAATCACTAGGTCAAGGTTAGTGTGACTTTTGTGGATACAGAGCTAATCTGTTCTTGTATTGATGGGAGTAGTATTCAATTTACCCAATCTGATTTGGCTCTATATTCATTTTGGCTGCCAATCATGTCACATATTTCACACACCAGAAAATGTTGTCACTGGCCTTCTAGCCCTGTTCTACTTGTTGAAACAGAGTTCTTGTCCATCAGAACTGTCCATTAAACTCTGAGTGTCCAAGACCTATGTTTATGGTGGTTAAATTTGCATGCACTCTTTGCAACATATAAACATGTTATTGATATCCTTTGAATTGCATGTGCAGGTCCTAGCATTGGAAACAAAAATGAGCTGATAAGTCACATTCGCAGATGACAGCTCCTGCATGTTCTGAAGACAACAAGAAGAATGTAGTAACACGAAGACATGAACACATTGAGGAGTAGGATGTGAACAGTTCCAACCATTCCGAGATATAGACAGTCCTTGTTGGTATGCACAAATCACACCTCAAGCTTCATTAAAGTTCCATTTCCACTGGTTCTATGCAGGTGAAACAGGAGCGGAAAAGGAAGAAGTTCGACAGCAGATTAAAGATTATTAAACAGGCCAGAACTGATTCCTCATCAGCTCTCAGATCTATACACACATACCTCAGATTATACAAAACACGAATCTACCCCCATTACCCCACTGTTGTCAGCCTACCTACACTCGTCAAGGACGGGCCTATTTCATCCTTGCATCTCCCGTTGGGTCTGTCATTTTTTGGCCGCCCAACTCCTCTACCTCTGTACTTACGAATGCCCACACATTTTTTACAGACAAATTTTGCAGGCACCTCCTCAAAATCATCAACCCCTGCACACCTCGTGTGCTGCCACACTCCACAGGCGTCGCAGGCCATCATCCTCTCTCCATCATCGTCTTTGGCACCGCAGACACAGTCGACGATCCAGTTATCGACTCCCCGTTCCTTCCTGAACAGTCCCAGACTTTGGTCGATCCCAAGGAACCTTCCTCTCAACCGAGCTACCCCGTAGGAGCCGAACAAGGACTTGACGGGAGTCACGTCACTGGCTTCTTCATGGTCGAGTAGCTGCTCAGCTTGAAACCTCTGGAATACCAAGTAGGTCTCTTGGAATGTTTTCGTCACCTGCAGCTTGAGATCGGCTATGGTGGCACCTGCTGATAGAATCAGGAGTTCCGGTGGGGGAGCCGTGTAGTCCTCCGGATGGTCGACCAACTTGACGTGGCACCAAAGAGCCGTCGCAGATGATGGATTTGGAGGTGACAGGTACGATACAGACTCATCGTAATGTCTGATAAATTGCTTACAGTCGAGAAGCTTAACTGCAGAGCTGAGGGCAGATTCCCTCAAGGCACTTGGCTTGTAGGGTTGCATGGAGGCCGGGTTGAGCAGGGCATCGTAAAGGAATTTAAGGTCATGGATGAGATGGTCAGCGGATGGTCTCGGCAAACACTGGGCGGAAGATTGCTGGTTATCAGCTGCCTCAAGACTGAAATTTAAAATATGGTAAGACAGACGATCTCCGGCAAAAAGAAAAAAAATGTTGCATAAAAAACGAAATGCTAAATATTTACTTCACTAACCGGTACTCTATAGCCTTTGTCTCAGCATTGTAGCGGGCAGTGACTACCATTCCATCGCCCACGGTCTTACCGACCACTCCCCTGAGGCAGCAGTCGAGCAGCTCCCGCGGCTCGATGGCGTAGCATGCGGCCCCTCGAAGAGCGCGCCAGGTCACCCACCGGGACCCACCAACAGCTCGTAGAACCTTGACAATGAGCTCCTCCGCCGGTTGTAAGCCATCCCTTGTCAATGCACACAGCACTCCAGCCACTGGTTTCTTCCCTGCAGGACTTTCAGGCTTAGCCCGCTCCGGGGCTTCGTGGAGTTGATGCAACACACAGCGGAAAAGGTCTCTGACAGTCACCGGTTGCTGGTCCGAGAGCGACCTGTACAAGTCGATCATGTTCTGGAGGGGAGTCCGAGGGTAGCCGCCGCGGGAGAAAAAGATGGAGAGCGGCACCTTGGACAGGGTGTCCACGGCCTTGTGGTAGGACTCGGCGGTGAGGGCAAAGCTACCAGCTCCAAACTTGTACCCCCAATTCCCGTACCAGGGATGGCCTGCAATGACGGCATGGAGGAGGCGGTAGTCCATTCCGTGTTTCTTGGATATGTCCATGACGCTGACCTTCCTGTCATAAACAGAAACATCCACCTGGTAAGGCCACATGCGGGTAAAACAGTGTGCTTTAAGTATGTTCAGCAAGCAATTAACTTCTCGGGCATTCGAATGTAATGACAACTCGCAGGTCCAACCATGCCTGAAACAACTCGACGAACCTGACGCGGAGCATCTGACACAGCCGGTCCCAAAAGCTCATAATATCACATCCTGTCAAGTATTTAGAACCACCCTCTCTGCCGTTTACTCGTAGAAGATGGCCGAATCCGTTGGCATGCACAATTCCATGCAGCAAATTAGTAGAATCCTCCAACTGCAGGTATGCCCGATCCTCAAAAGTGTCATCCGTCGTCATCTCACAATTGCATGAGTAACACCTGCAAAACAAAAGCGTCCCGATCATGTTAGTCATAGGTACATAATAAAAGCTTTGCATTTTTCAGTACATAGAAAGTCTACCATTAGCATAGTATTCATCAGAGGAAAGATGCCAGATATAATTCTCATGATACATAGCCACAATAAATACCAGAGCCAATCCAAACTGGAATGTACTTGCTTCCTAAATCCAAAATTAATCATATTTCTCAAGCTGTAACATTACTATCCTTACAAATATTAACTCTATTTACAAAGCAAAATTTTCATCAAATCAACCTATATGAATAGATTGTTACTTGATGGCTAACATGCCTAGCCACTAACATGCTTTAACAAATGTATTAGTCAGTCAGTTTTAATCCTTTTACTTTGAGGAATTGTAGCTCTAGATAATGAAAAAACAAAAGGACCACAGCGCTCAAAGAAATGACTTGCTGGAAAGCAAGTGAGATGCTCTCTTGCTGCCACATAAAAAAGTTATCAAGGAACACAATAGGAATTGCTTCGCTGCAACTTCACCTGATAGGAAAACAACCAAAATGTTTATGCATTACTTATCAGCTAAAAATATAAACATAAGTGACATTTGTATATTGAATCATCTGCATATGACATGCGACGATGGTGATTGCATCACCCTCACAAGATCCAGATGGCCATTGCCTCAAAGGAATCTTCTAAATCTTAAAGCCAATAATTTTGACAGATAAGCCTTATACACCAAAGAGAACCTTTTGGCTTAAGATAGAAAGGGTTAATAAGGAAGCTTTTTGCAACAATTCATATAAACAGAAAGTCTCGTATATTCACGAAATTCAGCCTTTACAACACTGAAGACCACTCCCAAGGAAAATAATGTTTCTCAATCTTCTGAGAAGAATATTTATAATGATGAGCTCATCTTATATGAATGACATGATATAGGAGACTGGATATGCTAAGCTTCTTTAAAGAACTCTAGATATACACATTAGAGATTAAATACCATATTCTTGACCTTCTTAAAATTCACAATTATCTGACACCACTACCAAAGAAATAGGTTCTTTTTAAGCATTATACTGAATGTGCACTGACAGGTAAGACTGTACAAAGAAACTAATCTTCCAAAGAAACCCACTATAACAATAGAAAAAAGAATCAGTCTTGTATAGAAATGCAAGAAACTTGTTATGCAAGACAGAAGGAATATCAATCCAAATATGTCATGATGCTGTGTGCAGTAAAACCGTCTTCATGAAGAACATAGAAACAAAGGTAAAAGTCTGATGTTAACACTCACTGAAGTCAGATGTTAACTGAAAGAGTGCAAAATTGGACCACCACCAAATTCAATGAATGAAAAATGTTCCCTTCGTAGGTCATGCAATGACTACTACAAGGATGTCATTACAATCGTAAACCAGACAAAGGAATTCATGCAAATTAATGTGTTTTTTTCAAATGTATAGAACTAATACTGTAGTTTTATTGAACATAAGTAGACTGACTTGGCTTATATTATGTCATACATATCCAAAAGTTGCACAGAAAAGGATTAATAAGTGTTCTAAACAAGATTGAAAATCCTTCCTAAACAACAATCACAAGAACTGGTAATTTGCTAATCATCCAAGCTCCTCTCACTTGTCCGACAGTTTTACCCATACCAAGTATGTGTGCAATCTATAGCTAGATCATATGACATGTTGAAGATCAAATGTCAAATTAATACCCTGAAAAGTAATAGTGATTAAACATATTGAAATAAGAATCATATATCCCAAGTTGTCCTATTCAAAAAGGTACAAGTCCTTGTGTTCAATTTGTTTCAACTGATTCATTAGTTGTTCCTTTCAGTGTTTCTGCTTTCATGACCAGAAGAGTGGTCAGACTACTCATCAATGCAAATGTACAAGCTATTGCAATCAACAAAAAAATCATTTAAGCATCTTGTGTACCAATCATTTAAGCCACTGATGATGAAGCACATAGTCATGAAACTGAACCAACATTGGTTTATCCTAATCAGATAAAAAGATGCAATACTATTTGCTTTAACTCAAAACTTGCCAACATAAATAGTTCCTGTCAACTCAAATACAGTCCCACCAGTTATATTTATATAATAATCTGTAGACAAATATTCAAGTAGCAAGCAAACCAAAGAGCAGTTCCCACCTTAAATTAGACAATGACACCAAGGTCCCACATCTGGTGCAGGTGACACCAGACGTCGACATTGAATTCTTATCATTTCGGATTATGAAATGGTAGCGCTTCCCACAAACCGGGTGATCGCTCCACCCTGCCGATTCACCAATTAAGCTCAGCAGTAATAATAATAATTATTATTATATATATATATATATATATATATATATCAGACAGTTGTGACAATCACGAACCAAACGTGACAGCTGTCAGTCCAAACCAGATGGCCAGATCTGATCCGGTCAACCGAAAAATAATAACAGAAAAAAATCCATAATTTAAAATATAATTAAAAATAGAAAATATATGGCATATAATATATAAAAATAGAAAACTTAGAGGAGAAGCAATCGAAGGAAAAATGAAATGAAAAATAGGTGAATACTCACCGACGACTCGGCATTGGTCGCAGTATATCGACTTCGATCGCGGCACGTCCTCCTCCACCACGTCGAGCGCCACCTCCGCCGCCTGGCCGTCGCAGTACCCGGCGCAGCCGCCGCCGACCCGGAACGCCACCCGCCACGTCAGCAGACGCGGCCCATCACCGCCCGCGGCCGAGGGGTGGGGGAGGATCGCGGGCGGTGGCGGCGGAGGCGCCGCGGGCCGGCCGTGCCGCGCGAGGAACGCCCGGATGTTCGCTCGGAACGGCCCGTCCAGCCCCGCGCCGTCGTCCGGGAACGTGAGGAAGTCGCAGAGGTCGGCGGTGACCCGCCGCTTCGCCCGCTTTAGCGGCCGCTCGTTCACTACCATGGGGTCGCCGGATCGCGTCGGGACCGTGGCCGTGGCCGTGGCCGGATCTCGTTGGTACGCCGGTTAGGGTCCGGATCGGGCTTGAGGAAGAAGCTAGAGAGAGAAAGAGAAGGGGGAAGCGAGAGGAGCGGATCGATCGGGTAGGGTTTGGGACGCAGGCTTCTAATAGGGGATGGGGAGGAAGAGGAGAGGACGGAGAAGGGGAGCGGGTAACCAGGGTTAAGGGGTCGGGTTAAGATTGGGGTTTCCAAAAAGAGGGCGGGAGAATTGGGGAAAGGAAGGATCGCGCCCTAATTTTGGGGGTCGTTTTTCTCTTCCCTTTTAAATAAATAAATAATATTTAGAACGGGGAATAATTCAAGGCGGTGCGGGGACCCGCTCTCGGTTCCGGTGACCTCCGTTAAAGAAAGATAGTTCCCTAAATTTCCTCAATACCCTTGCTTTTGTTATCGGATCGGGTCCGTACGAAGATGGTCCGATATGATAAATCATGGGTCCAAACCATATTGGAGTTGTGAATGTTAGTTAGTATGCTTTATGATGTATGATTAATACAATAAATGTTCCTAAAATCAATTAGTTTGTAGATGAATACGTGTTAGAAATTTAAGTAAATAAATAATAAAAAAAAATTTAATCAATTTCTCACAGTCTAAATCCATGTGAGAAATAGGATCCAAGATGAGGTTGATAAGAGCACAAATGGATCCAAATAATGTATTTGTAAATACAGCGCATTCATCAATTTCAAATTTCCTCAGATTAAGAAAATGTTTGGTAATTATGCCTCTGTATTTAGGTGTAAATATTTGGTACTATCCTTGTAATAACTCATAAGATAAAGGGAATATTTTTTACAAACCAGATTTATCAAATATTCAGTTGTTTTTCTTTATATCTTCTCTGTTTTTCTTTTTAATTCCCTTAAAGTGAGTAAATACTTCGATTATCGGATCGGGTTATCGGAGTTCAAATCTAGAACCCTTTAATGTCCTACTGTAGTGTAGGGGCACAATCGAAAGGCCGGGAAGCCCAAGAAGCAGAGCAGCCGTCTAACTACGAAACTACCCTCTTCAAAACACGAAATTACAACCCATGCCAAGCGTCGTAAATAATACTTTTAAAGTGTGAGATGCACGACCCAATATTCAACACTAATACTTTAAAATCAATAAAGATTTATATTCAACACTAATAATACTTTAAAATCAATATTCAACACTAATTCTTTAAAATCAATATTTTAAAGATTTATAAATCTTTAAAATCTTATTCAAAGATTTTAGAATACTTTGAACACTCATGTATTCTTTAAAATCAACACTAATAATACTTTAAAATCAATAAAGATTTATATTATAATACTTTTTTAATAGACTTATCGTGTCAAAAAAAATATAAACTTATTCAAAAATATCAATAATCAATAATATTTTATACATGAAGGATTAGAAAAACCTAAAAACAAAATTTTCTCCCCCTTTAAAGTATTAGTGTTGGATATTGGGTCGTGCATCTCAGACTTAAATGCGATGACATATTACATGAGGCTGCTGCCTCTACGAGGTCGCATCAGTGTCCTTTACAGATAGGCGATTGTGTGTTCTCATGATTTGAACCTTCGAATCATTATTGGCAAAGCACCATCAAATAAATAGTTGTTGTGGGAAGACCAAAGATAACAATCTTAATGAATGATCAACTGCACAAATAATATTGTATTCACATCTCATCAAACAAATAGATAAGAATTAAAAGTTCCTTTGATCGTCCGAGATGAGAGATAGACGAAGTCACTATCCAAATAATGATTAAATATTAAATAAAATATTCTTTATCGTTGTATTTAAAAGTAGAAAACAAATAATGATTGATGGGAATGTCTTCGGTGAATGAAAAATTAGAAAGTAAAATAATGATTGATGAAGTGTGTACCAAATTTGGTTTTTGAAATTAGGAAAATAATTAAAGTGTATTTATTACATCGACAACTTTGTCGTAGTAGAGAGTATATTTTGATCGATATGATGTGTGAAAAAGATGAGTGATGTAAAACTACTGAAAGGTTAATTTCAAACATATTATTTTTACCATAAAATTGAAATATAAATATAA